AATAGCAAGAACATGACTCACCTTTGTCAGTTCTCGTTTCTAGCTCAGCCTCTAATAAAGTTGATTCGTGTAAAAATGAAGGAGCAAAAAACCCATGCTTCAATATTCCTGATTCTCTATGTTCTCCACATGACTGCAAGAGAAAATATGCACCTAAATATGCAGAACACAAAAGTTGACAGAAGAAAAAGGGAAATTATGTTGAAAAGGAGTACAAACAGACGTCACAATGTACGGCAACATCGAGGTTGGCCATGGTACAATTTGTACAGAACCACTTCATTATTTCCCTGAGTTTATGTAAAGGTTCCCAGTCACTATCATCATCGTCATCCTCATCATCATCCTCAAAGATGTCCAGGTTGTTACACATATCTTGGAATGTCATTTCTCTCTGCTGCCTTGCCTTCTTCTGAAGTAAAACCATATTGTATTTACAAACAGTGCAGTAAAAGGACATAGAACCATTGCATGTCAGTCATCAGTTACTAATGAAATCATGTTTTACTTACACGTAAAGTATCGGGTTGAATATCTATATTTACGCTGCTTGGTACATCCCTATAAGAAGCTATGCCAGTATTATCATCTCCACAGTTATAATCTAAACTAGGTCTAACACTACTTCTATCGGAGCCTGATTTTCCATGTCTTCCATTCAAAATTTGACTTGGGAGTTCGTTGCCTTGCTTCTGAAGATTTACTTCAGCCTCCCCATCCACTAGATGACTCTGTTGAAGTATTTCTGAAACCATTACGCCTTGTGTTCAGGAGTTGGGTGAAAATGTTCATCAGTTAATGTCATCAGCAAGACAATAACTACTAAAACCAAAGAACCAAAATAAGTATGTGGTAAATAATCATGAAAGAGAGATGAAGATCCAACTGACGAGTACGAAACAGTCATTACATCAACAAAAGTAATAATGATAAATAAACAATACAAACAAAAGAGCAGAGTGAGAAAGAGCAACAAATGGGCAAAGGACATGGAAATTAGTGACAACCTTTAGAGATTCAATATCCATGCATGAAGCTACTAAGAATCCAACTTTAAATTTAAGTTGTTTATTTATAAGAAACTAGATTTTTTATAACAGTCCAAGCCCACTGCTAGCAGATATTGTCTTCTTTAGGCTTTCTCTTCTGGGCTTCCCCTCAAAGTTTTAAAACGCATCTGTTAAGGAGAGGTTTTCACACCCTTAAAAGTAATGTTTCGTTCTCCTCTCCAACCAATGTGGGATCTCACAATCCACTCCCTTTGGGAGCCCACCGTCGTCGATGGCACACCACCTGATGTCTGGCTCTGATACAATTTGTAACAACCCAAGCCCACCGCTAACAAATATTATCCTCTTTGGGCTTTCCCTTCTGGACTTCCCCCAAGGTTTTTTGGGTTGTTACACTTTCACTTTAAAGATGGAGCAGAGTGGTCTCCACCAAGCCAAGGGATTACCCAAAAAAAAAAAAATCCCCAGTTAGCAATAATGTGAACACACTAAATTTAAGTTTCAGCTACTGCCTTTAGCAACTTTATAGGCCTTGTTCCACAAAGTCCCAAAATGGGTGCTCTTAAGTGCGCTGGATCATGTGCCTCAACCATATTCAGCATGCACTTCTCGCTTAGATGCAACAAATGTTTTAACAAACTATGGCTAAATCAGGTAAATAAGAGAAAACTTAAACAAAAACTAGTAGTTCTCCTTTGTTCAACGTTCTCACCCGAAATGTGCCCTCTCACTCTCTCTAATAAATGTGAAGGAACGTGAAATATGACTGAATTAAAAACATAAAATATGGAGGACTGTACTCTATTGATGAACAAAATTGGAAAGAAGAAATTACTCAGTGATGACAGGTTTAAATTTTTAGATCTCAGTCTTCAGATTTTCAATCATATTTCACGCAGATTTTTAATATTCTTTGCTGAAAAATGTACACCTTATACTTTGTGTACTTTGTCTCGTTAAGGCTCTCACTACTTTTGCATCTTGTGCCTAAAGGGTATATGCTTCACGCCGTTAAAGCCACTGACACCCTCACACTATAACAGGACTAAACAACTTGCTCTCTAGGACCTTTTGCACCTTTTCCCACGAAATGGCTTCGAAGGGTATCATATCAATTGTCGTCAAATAGCTGTAACTACCTGTGAATTTCATGAGAGAAAGTGAATGTCCCAGCTACTACTAAACTATAACACATAGACACGCAACATGTATGTTTCAGATTTATACTCAACATCTCTGTTGGGATATCAGTTTGGTGATTAAATGTTGTACTACGTTCTCACTGAGTATAGGGTTCAAACTTGTCATAACATCAATATAACTTGAGAGTCTCTACCCAACACTATCTCGTAGGTATACCATGAGATCTAATTGTCTCTATAGGTATAGTCCTAGCACGACAACATGGCATACGTCCTTTTCAAACGATCTACCATCACTAAAAATCATGGTGCAACTCCCACTATCTCTAGAGGTCTTGTCGTGACATTCACTACAACACGCCCCCCTTTCCAACCGGAATGCTTAAGGTTTGTAGTTAACCACCAAGTCTATGCCTCTTAGCTATCGTCTATCGATGCATCAAACACTTTCTAGGAAACTGAGAACTTGTTCCTATATTCATTCATGACCCTCAAACACAAAAGAAAACTCTTCAAGATTGTTGTACCCCTCAGTACCACCAGAATGCATTACAAACGGTGGTTATGCAGCTTTTTTGACCGCTCTTTCTTGAGGAACTTCATTCCCCATTGCATATTTAAAATTTCAACTATTAAAACCCCACCCCCAACCCTACCTTGCACTACATAAATAGGTGGATATGCATGTTTAAACTAGCACTTGAAACTTGTAACAAACAAATTTTCATCACACCTAATCAATCATCTCCTCTCTTCAGAACCATGGCGTGAAAAATCCTGTACTCTCACGTGAAACTTGGGTGAGCTACAACCCAGCATATACAGTCACTTCAAAAATTCAACCAATACATGGGGAGAGAAATGTGAATTCTGAAAGACGAGAACGAAGCTAATGACCTCCAACACAAAATTATAACAAGAAGAAATAGAAACCCTAACTTCCAACAGAAACATTTAGAGAAGAACGATTCAAACGGGGCGTCCATCGGGATCGAATCAGTGAGATTTTCAAAACGAAACTGAAGAGAAGATTAGCGGGAAAGATAAACAAGAAGAAGAAGAAGAAGAAGAAGAAGGAAGTAAGAAGAGTGATGAATAATCGAACCTGCGCTAAGCAAAGATGAGTCGCTTCAGCTCCATGGCCAAAGCACTAGTACGGCAGCGGGAGTCGCCCATCCATTTCCATTGTTGCAAATCGAGGTAAAAAGAAAATGTCCCATTTTGCAAACGAGTCCTTTGACTTTAATGTAATTTCAGTTTGCGTCCATTTCAAATTTTCGTTGAGTTCCGTGCCTGAAAGCAAAACTAAATCTTTTTTTTTTTCTTTTCTTTTTTTTATGATAAAATAAAAGTAAATAATTTTTTTTTAATTCTCAAAAATGTATAATTAAAGAAAATAAAGCTTGAAAAAATGTTTAAACTAGAGAGTGTTAAAAACAAATATTTAGGCATAGCATGTCTATTAATACTCTTATAATTAAATTAAAACAATTTAATATTAATTAAAAATTACCCAAAATAATAGTTGTCATAATTAATTTAAACAATTTATATATTAATTAAAAATTACCAAAAATAATAGTTGTCTGTGATTTAATAAAGAAGTTATTTAATTGGTAAAAGTAAAATGAGAAAAAGAAACGCACGTCGTTTGAAGGGATCGAACGCGGGTGGACTAAAATAATAAAAATAATAGTTGTCTGTCATTTACAGAATAAGTCATTTAATTAGTAAAAGAAAATGAAAGGAAAATTGCGAACGCCGTTGCCGGGGATCGAACCCGGGTCACCCGCGTGACAGGCACAAGAAATGTTTACATTAATAGTAATTACAAATCTAGAAAAAAATACGCCGCTGCCGGGGATCGAACCCGAGTCACCCGCGTGACAGGCTGGAATACTTACCACTATACTACAACGACTTGTTGATTTCGGAATGAAAATAATTTTAAAATGTTTATTATATTTTAATACTAATTATTGTGCCTTAATGCGCCAACCTAAACACGGATTCCCTTATCTTTTTATTTTAAATTAAACGAAGATACGATGAGACAATAAATTAAAATATTATATGATAATTCATCTACCACGACCATTGAAATAAACCCGCCCAATGAATTATCAACCTCAGAGATTTATATTAAAAATGTTACCCAATAAATATATATATATACACTAAACTAGGAGTCGAGATTTGAAGATTATAGATGTGGATGATATAATTGAGAAATGATATACCCTTTAAAGCTAAATTAAATATTCGATTGCTATAAAATTCACACGTTCGTAACCAATTGAGCTATCAAAATCTTGACGGTTAAAACATATATATATCACTGAACTCGTGTTAGAAGTTCAAGTCCTTGTCAATATAAGGATAATATACTTTCCTAACCAGATCACAAAGATTGAATAATTTGCAACGTTCATAACTACTCCAATTCAACAAAGTTGGAAGTCGTGATTCAAACATCTTTGATGAAACACAAAAGTTTTGAGTCCAGTGGTGATGTTCGTGAATTAAAGTAAGGCACCCTTAAACAGACGGATCATGACATCAAAACCATTGACAGGTTATCAATATTGAAAGAGCTCTTGGAGCGAGTTTCACCTTGGTTAATTTAGTAGAAGATCATGGGTTTATAAGTGAGGAATACTATTCCATTGGTACGAAGCCTTTTGGGGAAGCCCAAAGCAAACCCACGAGAGCTTACGCTCAAAGTGGACAATATCATACTATTGTGGAGATCCGTGATTCCTACCAGCTTCAACTTACTAATCCAAAATTTGCTCAACTGATATAAATTTAGACGGTATGAACGTCTCTTTACCACAAAACTATGATCACTTAAAACAAGCAGACAGAACTCGAAAAGCCACTGCTACATTCAATTGTGTCCTATTTATACAGTACAGTACTTTTGAACTCTTCATGTTCGTTCTGTAATGAAAATTTCTTCTGTATTCCTGATGAGATCAAAATTCAAGGAGATTAAAGTGCATGAGAGAGGTTTAGATGTTTATCTCCAGCAAGAAATTCATCAGGACCATTACTGAAGAAAAAAAAAGGTAAAAATCAATGAATTGAAAAGAAAAACAATCAGTCTGCCCAAAAGATAAAATGAAAGATGGGGTACCTTAGATGGTTCAGAGCTGACATTATGTAAAGACATGTAAATACCAAAATATGCAACCCAATTGTATAGAAAATATAGAAATGTTCGGGCATACGAAGGTTAGTGTCTAAGCCAACTTAGTACCAAAAAATCAAATATGTCCTCCATGGATAAAACAAATGTTAAGTTGATTGGCTATGACCTATATGGGTCGCGACCTCATGTATTTAAGATGTATAATAAGATTACATCACAAACCATGAAATCATAGATTTGGTAACAAACCAGGAAATCATAGATTCTCCTTAATTCATGGTAACAAACAAATAAATTAGTATTATGTACAGATATGATCTATTATACTTTTAACACCCCTCAATCTGGATGTTGTACTACTAAGTTCACATTGCGCCTAAAACTGCTAAAAGAAGTTGGCAGAGGCTTTGTCATGATATTGGCAAGCTGATCTTTGAAAGATTGAGTCGCACATCAAGCTGACGAGTCGATACTCGTTCACAAACGAAGTGATAATCAACCTCAAAATGCTTCGTCTGTCAAGGAAAGATTGGATTGGCGGACAAATAGGTGACACCAATGTTGTCACACCACAGGCTAGGCGTTCGTGCTTGCGAGATCCCGAGCTCATGCAAGAGGACTTGGATCCAGATTAATTCGGCAGTGGCATTAGCAACCGCCTTATATTCGGTCTCCGTACTAGAACGAGAAACTGTTGAACTCCAGGAGATAAGATTGTTACCAAAAAAGATCGCATAGCCTCCAGTGCTTCAACGATCATCAGGATTCTCGGCCCAATCAGCATCCGAAAAGGCACTCAGCAAATCAATGTTGGACTTTGTAAGACACAAGCTCATATCAATAGTGTCATGTAGATAACGAAGAATTCGTTTGATTGCCGCCCAATGTACAGAAGTCGGGGAGGACATGAACTGACACACTCTATTGACACATAAGGATATACCAGAGACAAATATTGGAGAGCACCAACGACACTCCGGTAGTGAGTAGTATCCTCAGGCAAGAGCTTTTCACCTCCATCCAATAACAACTTCTCACTAGGAAGCATAGGTGTGAGCACACCTTTGGAGGTGAGCATATTGGTTTTAGACAATAAATCTTGAATGTATTTATGTTGTGTCCGAACAAGTCCATTGGAAGTATGGCAGACCTCAATCCCAAGAAAAAAAACTCAAAATGCCAAGATCCTTGACAGCAAAATCATCCCGAAGCTGTGTAAGAAGTTTCTCAGTAGCCGTAGAAGATGAGCTGATGATAATAATGTCATCAACATAGATGAGGATATACATTTGAATGCCCGTCTTGTTAAAAATGAAAAGAGAGACATCAACTGAAGGTGTAAAATCCAGCTGTAATAGTTTAGCGCTAAGGCGAGAAAACCAGGCACACGGAGCTTGTTTGAGGCCATAAAGTGACTTATCCAGCTTGCAGAGATAACAAGACGTTAAGAATCCACAAATCTAGGGGCTGCTTCATATAAACATCTTCATCAAGAAAGCCACGAAGAAAAGCATTTTGAAAATCAATCTGCCGAATAGCCCAACCACGAGAAATAGCAAGAGATAATAAGAGTCGAATGGTAGTGGGCTTAACAACTGGACTAAAGGTTGATGGTGTTAATATAACACATGCGGAAGCAATTTGGATCTTAGGCACTTTTAGAACATCAATTATTGTAAATTACTAGCATGTTCATAAGTATTAAAACTTAATGAGTTTAAATACTAACCTTTTGTAGTTCAAACTCCTTTTGCCTCACGAACCGGTTTCGAACCACCACTAGTGTCTTCTCCACTATCCTCCGGCCTTAGAACGGGATTGTGGAATCCGGTGAGTGACTAAACTTGGGAGGGATTTTGTATATGTGAAAGAGAGTGTGAGAAGTTTTTCTCAAGGTTTTTCATCAAAATGAAGAATCCCCTCCAAGCATCATGATCACTCTATTTAAAGAGTCAAGTTTGCATGTTCATGCAAACTTGAGATCACCAAATTTTGACACTTAAAATTCCACTCAAATGTTTGGGATTATGTGGCAAGCATGCATGTTTGAGTTAACCAAATTTTGACACTCAAAATTCCACTCAAACTTGTGGGGTTTATTTGGCAAACATGCAAGTTTGGTTAAACCAAATTTTGACACCTCAAAATTCCACTAACATGGATTTTTCCATGGGATGAAAGTCAACATTTTGACTTTCTTCATTTTAATTCAACAATTAATTTGAATAATGAATTTCAAATTAAAGTAACATTAAATGATTAATTAAACTATTTAATTAATATTTAATATTAATTCAAATGCCAATCCCAATCAATTCCGACACATAATTGATTAAGATATTTAAATCTTATTTAAATATCTCAGATTCTCTCTTTTCGTTTAATTCGTAAATAAAACAAAATTGCGGTTAAATATATCGTATATATGTAACGCATATTCCCTAATTTGAATTCGAACACTTCGAACTCACTCGTCACACTGTTCTATGGTTTAGTCCGATATGAGCTAGCAGAGGGATCTAATGGACCTATAGATCATGGGCTCCAACGATCCAAGATTAACCGATTAAACTCATTAACCTGGTTAACCAACATTCGTTAACTACTAGGACACTCCACTATAGCCTAGTAGTTGCACTCCCCTCACTATAGATATATTTCTGTCCATCTGATATAACCATGATTAGTAAGTCGATCCTTCACAGGTTGTTCGTAACTAGAGCTGGGTTAATTTACCGTTTTACCCCTGAAGTTACTTCTTGTTCCTTATGTCTCACTGATCCTCTAATGAACAATTGGTTTGTGGTCCAACCAATAAACCGAATCCCTCTCAGGCCAATGAGAGGGTGGGGCCCCTTGTTCAAGACCTGGAGTCAGTGCTTAAGGGAACTACCTTTCTTCTATCCTTAAAAGTGGGTAGGAGTGAATTCCGTCTTGCACCCCACGTCCCCAGCCATTCACCCAGTCTTACCCCTGAAATGGGAGGCCTGTTGAGTCGGCGAACTTGAGCCACTCTCACCCATGCAAATCTAAGGATAATTCCAAATAAACAGGAGTTCATGGTTAGCTCAGGATTAAAACCGAGTTACCTAGGTTATCGAATGAAAAGAAAATCAGTCTCGACAGTAAACGACTTTATAAAGTGAGAGTGGTTTTCTTCATGGTCCGATCTTATGCAATACTCGTTGCATAGGACGCCCCCACTCACATGTCTCCACATGCACAATTTAGTGATCACATTGTTTATATCATATACAAAAGTGGGCCGCATCCATAGTGTCCCCAGAATAAGGTACTCAGCCTTATCCTTATACTATAGATCATTTTGACTATATACTTGAACTTGATCCACTCTTATGTCTCTACATATAGTTCAAGTAATCATACTATAGCCAGAGTGTTCTTAGTTTATTGGATTTAGATTAATGATCGTAAAGTTCACTTTATTCAATAACAATTTTTTACTGAATAAACATCAATAATAACTTTATTGAAAATAGAATATATCTTTGTTTACAAACTATGAGTTTTAGGACATAAAACCCAACAAAGGTATCATCAGAATCAATGCCATACTGCTGTTTAAACCCCTTAGCAACCAGGCATACTTTGTAGCAATCAATAGAGTCATTTGACTTTTGCTTGAGTTTGAAAACCCATTTGCAATCAATAACATTAAGACCAGCACGAGGAGGAACTAAGTGCCATGTCTTATTTTTTAGAAGTGCCTGAAATTCATCATTCATTGCTTGACGCTAAAGAGGATGCTCCATAGCAATAATATGTGAAGTAGGTTCAGAGGCAGAAGACCGAACTACAGAATATGTTACTGTTCCATCTGTACGCACCTTGGGTTTCTTGATATTGTGCTTCAATCGAGTACCATACGGATGAGTAGCAGGTACAGGATCCACAATTGAGGGGACAGCTGTACCAGCCGTTGCGAGGGGAGCAACCGGTGCTACAACAGTCGGTTGACCAGCGGCTGAGGATCCGACCGGGCATTGTGCAATACCATTTGTTGGCGGAGGATTCGAGGCCCCAATCATTGGCTAAAAATCCAACGCCGATTCGCGCGACAGCGACGCGGAGGATTGCGGCGGCAATTCCAAAGCTGATGTGGGCACCAGATTTTCTGCATCCAAAGAGTTAGTAGGTACATATATATGCATATGATCATTATCCAAATTAGTACTGCTACTACCCAAGTGCAAGGTGCACAAATCAGGGGCATTGTGCATCGGCTGCATGGTTGGGGAAGAATTGGGTGGGGCTCTCTTGAACGGAAAAACATTCTCATCAAATATGACGTCTCTAGAAATATAGACACGGCCAGAATCGGTGTCAAGACACTTATACCCTTTATGTAAAGAACTATAGCTTAGAAAGACACATTCCTTGGATCGAAAAGAAAGCTTTTGTTTGTTATAAGGGCGAAAATGAGGCCAACAAGCACACCAAAAAACTTTTAATAAGGAGTAAGCTTGGCAGGTCAGGTGCCCAGGTCTGACGTCTCTAGAAATACCCAGGTCAACACTAGCAGCGGTTGAGGAAGGGACCAGCTTGGCAGGTGTGGCAATGGTGCCATCGAGGTAGCCCATAAGCTTCGTACTCCGTAGGTAGGGGAGGAGCTGGGTGTCACAGTCATGCTCGTCCAAGGCGTGTTGGCCCATGGCCGCATGCCCATGACAAGTCAAACCCTTTATGTCTTTCCATGTTCTAGTGTTTTACATTTGTATTTCTAGGAAGTATGACGTTTCGGAAAAATCATGTCTAGGTCTACCAGACATGAAATGCCTCAAAATATACGATAGGGGGATATGACTAGTTGTCAACTTCTCCCTACCAATAGTTATATACTGTGAGCCGTTGTTGTTACTCTCTTGCTTGCATATATAACGTCTAATGTACGATAGGGGGATATGACTAGTTGTCAACTTCTCCCTACCAATAGTTATATACTGTGAGCCGTTGTTGTTACTCTTTTGCTTGCATATATAACGTCTAATGTACGATAGGGGGATATGACTAGTTGTCAATTCTCCCTACCAATAGTTATATATTGTGAGCCATTGTTGTTACTCTCTTGCTTGCATAT